CCTTTACCCGGTCGCGGGGGCAGCAGGCTCCACCCACATCACACTGCACCGTACCAACCCCCCCTGAACCTGGTTCCTGGAACCTGGTGGTGAGTCCACTGGAAGGTACCAACCGCCCTAACCGGGATTTGAACTTGCCCAGGAGGTGAACCCTGGGGTTCCACACCAATGACAGAGACATTGCCTCTGGGCCAAAGCGCCACCCAAATACTTTATTAAATATATATATAATATATATATATATATATATATATATATATGTGTGTGTGTGTGTGTGTTTTTGTACTCATTTGCAAGAAAACAAAGGGGAAAAACGTGGACTTTACTTTATTACGATTGTACTGGTCTGACCCACTGATATCTAATCAGGTCGTAGGTTTGATGCCCCGTCATCGTCAGGCTTTTCATCATTTCATCTTGTATCGTTTCGCAATCGACTTTTTTTCTTTTTCTTTTACAGCTTCGATCATTTCAGTCCAGTGTCCCGTCGCTGCCATTTTCCCGCTTTTCCATATTCCCCCCCCCCCCCTTGCCTCTCCCCCCGTCCCAGCAGTTCTTCGCCCCACGCTGCTGGACTGATTCCATATTCTACCTGCTGCCCTTGGGCCTCAGCAGCGTGAACAGGGTCAAATGAAACCTTATTGCAGGAGTGAATCAACCGCGGCATCAACAGTTGCCCCCACAGGTGGCGGCAACAAAAGCCCCCACTTATCAACCCTCCCAGTCAGAAGACAGTGAGTTGTTCTGTCAGAGACCAGGATGAAGAGGAGGAGGAGGAGGAGGAGGAGGAGTTCACCTTCCAAACCCTGATTATATGCCACTAAATTTATTGCCCCCCCGGCGTGCCTATGCAATTCTACGTGCTCAGCACTCTGCTGCCATCGATTGGCCGCGTGTGACAGTGCAGTAATGTGGACACCGCCTTTTATCAATAAAAAAATGTATGTGTCTCCAGCCCAGGAGGCATTCAGTAATGAAATCAATAGCTGTGCTTGGCTCCTGGCATTAAGATCATGGGCCGGGGCTGTTATTTAGTCATTGTTGTCCTACACTGCCGGTGCGACCCCGGCCACCGCCACAAATCAATGGCGTCGTATCGCGGCCAGCATCCTAATTACTGGCAGGGCTGGTGAGAAATCAATGCAGCTTTCTGCCATTACTCCATGTGGGAAATCATGCAACATTATTTTACTGGGGGGGGGTGGTCTTCCCCACAGA